AACACTACTTATCATATTTGTTTGATATTGGTTTGCTTCAAGATATTGCAGAGGTGGCAGTGTGGGTTTGTATGTCCTCAGATACAGTAGAAAAGGTTTATGCATTGTAACATAGTACTCTTTGAAAATCTTTCTATATTATGAGGTATGATTTTATTGAATTTCTGTACACCCTTCCTTCGAAGGTAAAATTCATTTTTATTTATAATTCTACTCAGACAAATAAGCATAGTTATATAAAGTCTGTTTGTTCCCTCATACCTTTTGGTTGTACATTATTTTAATGTGGTTATCATCCCAAGTGTTGTATCAGGCTGTAGGCAGAGAGAGGATTTGAGACTGAGGTGAATGTGTTGATTTGCTGAGCTGTAGTGTGAATATGAATGTGGGTTGCTGCAGAAAGAGTGACTTTAGCCCTCAGGTCTATATTACACCCACATCCACCTAGGAGTGAACCATCTGTGTGTCCCTGATGGCATGCTGGCACTTCGGCTGTCTGGGTCTGGTCGGGGACGAGGACAGGGACACAAACAGCAAGGCTCCGCATTGCCCCAGTCGCTGCCTGTTTCTTCCTTCGCCTCCCCGCAGTTTTGCTGCAGTTTCCTCGGTGCCCGGGCTATTTGTGCCATGGTAACTGTGCCAGCCTGCCAGCTCAGACACAGATTCCACCTCTCGTCTCCCTTTCTGCCAGCATGATGACTCAGCACCTCCTGCAGGGCTTCCAGCCTCCTCCCTGCTCAACCTCAGCGATACACCGTGCTCATCAGACTGAGTAGTGTTTTGTCATTCTCTCCTTCGCCCTGACCTGAATACAAAATGGACCAAAAATATTAAAGCAACGTAACTAATATATTTAGTTTGATGTTAAATCACCAACCACCTTGAATTTATGAATTGGTGATAAAGTGTATAACGGATGAAGATTTGTTGTATACGTTTTTTTTAGTCTATCAGCTAATAAAAATCTTCAGGCACAGAAACCTTACCTGACTCTGATCCGTTTTCTTATTGCATGCATTCTGAATGTCTGCAGTTGGAGATAAAATAGAGTTGAGCAGTGAGGACAACTTTGTTGTCATCTCACTTCTTGAAAAAATGAAAGAAGAAATTGGGTCCGTCCAATCCTGAGTAACCATCAGGAACAAGGTGAATTTCATCTTCTGATCAACGAGCTGCGAAATTATCCTGATCGCTTCCAAGTCTATTTCAGGGTGTCAGTGGTCCGGTTTGATATGCTACCAGCCCTGAAACGACATATTAAAAGAAGAAGAAAACACATTTCTGCCATAAAATTGATTCTGAACCGAATCAACTCTTTGGCAAATGAGGATAACGTAGTAAATCCAACCCGCTCCAAACACTTGAGTGGTGAACGAAAGTTTATGTTAACATGATTGAGGCAAGGTCGTATACGTTTTTAAATATACAAAAAATACATACTTGGTGTGCAAAGACCTTAAGTGTTGCAAGTGGGAATGTTTACCAATCATCAGAGCATGCTTCTCTCTTTAGCTTGAGTTGTACCATTCACAGCAGTTGAGTCTCATATTTAACCATCATCATCTAATCACTTTAAGATCTGCCCAGCGTCTTAAAGAAGTGCTTATTAGTGTAGCCCTTCTGGAGTGGGATCACTGGAAAGAGTCTGGTGTAAGAGACGTACTGTCATAAAATGGGAGTCTTGATTTGTGGGATCACTTGTCCCTCCAGCAGCACTCGGCAGGGGGTAAGTCTTAACAAACTTCTCACTGGGCCTCGTCTATTTCAGCTATGTCTCTTTGGGCTGTACACACTTTGGCCACTTTGTGTTGATCTCAATGTGGACTTTATGTTCCCACGCACAAGGTCAGCACTCTTTACACATCTCAGAGGTTCTGATGTCATCGTGCAAATTACCTGTGGTGGAAAAAGAGTTTAGATTCTTTACATAAGTGAAAGCCTAAATAAATTTTAAAAAATGTGTTAATTTTACTCATAACTTGACTGAAAAGAGCAGAAGTAGTATCATCACCACTGATAATGCAGAATGTCTCCGGAGCTGCTCTGAAGTCCGACTTTTTTCTGACATTTTCCAGAGGGGATGTGTTTGAGAGCGCCAAGACAATGCTGTTTCTGGAATTTTTCCTCCCAGCCCCCTTTTCAGTAAAATTCCCTGAAAATGTGTGAGCGAGTCCTTGTGAGAATACAATGGGGAAAATTCACAACGAGCGATTGGGCACGTTAATGACATTTCTCAAATGTGATGGCTGTAAAAACCAAAAGAATACAAATATCTCTAACATAAAAGACAGCAACAAAAATGTGCTGATATTCAGGTGAAATGAGATTTCACCTGAATGTTCTGGAAATGTTCATGTTGTGAACACTTCCGACCTGGACAATCAAAAGTGAGAGGCAGATTCCAGAAAATATGCAGACCTAATTTTCGGGACACTTTCTGGAGTTCATGTCTGAAAAATGCTTAGATGAAATACAGAAATAGTTACTGTTACGATGCCTCTGTGTGTTAAATGTTGCTTGTTGGTAATTAAAGCACAAGTACCTTAAATTGTATGTTGTTGTAGTACCTGAGTTTCTTTCTACCACTGCTCAAGACACTCGTAAATGAAAACCAGTATAAACTGCTTGGTGTTCACAGACTGAAGGGTTAAAAGGGATCACCACCATAATCGATGGAAAAACCATTGATTGTGATGAAACCTTTAGTTAAGACCCATTACGTTATTAGCTTCAGCAGCAATAAACACAGAGAATTTTGTCTAAAACTATAATTGCAATGTAGTATTAACACCGGTTGTCTATTATAAAAACCACATCAGAGGACACAGGAAGAGGGAATAAAAGGAAAGAAGGGGGTTGAGACAGAGAAGGGAGGAAATAAGAGCACATCCTTGGCAGGATGTCAACTCTGTGAACACACACTGCAGAACGCTGCCAGAGAATTCAATACGCAGGGATCGAGGGCTGCAACACACACTTTCGCATGCAGCGAAACAAACGTTGACTGCTCAGATCGCAATTGGTCCTGCAGATGCTAGCACGGCCTCTCTCCTTCCAAAGAATCCCTTCTGTGGTTTCCAATATCAGGATGAGTCCAGGCTGCGTATTCATCAAGCAAAGCCCTTAGTAGGCTTAATGATATATGAGACTGGCTGGCCATGGTTCATATGTTTACTAGATGTAGTAGTTTCTTTTTTACTGTGTTCATACTGTAAATTTTACAGGCCAGACGACTCCAAAGGCGTTTGGATTTGCAGTGCATAGACTGACATATTTGCTGTGTACATACCTTACAGCACTCGCATAACAGGAATGCTTGGGTGCTTGGTCGTCATTGTGCGGCTCACAGCTTATGAAAGCTTATTTAAGACAAAGTGTCTGCGTGGGAGAGATGAAATGAGACTGAGATGATTTCAGCGGGCCGTTGAGGGTCTTTTAGCATCAAATGTAAACAAAAATGAAACAAATCATTTACCTACACTAATTGAAGTCATTAAGTGGAGCCCTGTGACACACTCTACTTAGTTAATTGTGGTGAGTTATTGATCTGTCAGCAGCGTGTGAGTCAGGCTACTGAGCTCTCTGTTGTCTTTCTACATGAATGATATATGAGTCAATAGCGAGACAACTAGTAAGACAAAACCTGTTTTTTGAGGCTCCAGACTTATCGTCTCACCCCCCCCCCCCTTATCCCTTTGTCCTGTGTCCTCCGGCCCCCTGACTTTACCATGGCCCAACCCACCACCAGCATGGTGCCCTTCTTCCCACTGTCCCCCTGGGTGCTGTCACCAGGCGACTCCTTGTCCCACTTCTCCTCCTGCAGCCCACCTCGCTGTCATAGCACGATCTCAACTGGCCCCAGTTCTCCTCCATTCTCTGACCCACTGGCCCCCAGTTGCCCCTGGCAATACCTCCCTTGCCTCCTCATGCCCTCCTGCCTGCTTCTCCCCCCCACCCCCACCCCGGTTCAGGAGGGGCAGACAGAGCTCCTGATTATCTCTGTGTGGCAGCCCCTGTTTTGTGCTCTGATTAAAGGAGCAGCATGTGGTCTGTGTGTGAGTGGCCTGTACAGACGCCGCCGTTGGGCTGATGCTAACATTACGTGCTTAATCATTTATGTCTGGGAGATGAGCACAAAGGCTTGGAGGGGGTGGAGGTACCGGGGGTGTTCGGGTATTTATCAGTGGCACAGATGCACTGAGGCGCGCACACACACGCTCTGTCAAGATAACGGCCCGCGGTGCTTAGTGCGGCATAAACGGGGCATGCTCCGGGCTATGATGTTTCCACAAACCTCACATATCATCTTTATAAAATGGGTAGTTAGAGGGGATTTTTTCCCCCTGAGAATTCACAGTGTGAGCTAAACTGGTGGTCTGTTCAAATCTGTCGCTGAAAGCAAACAAACAAACATAAGTACACACTGTGTGTTGACGTAGCTCGAGACACATTAAATATTGAAGGATTAGACCGTCTCCAGGTCTCTAAATGATAGTATTTGGGCACCCACGCTTTTTCTCCCTGCTGTGCTCCTCTTTCTCCTCCTCCTCCTCTTACGTCTGTCTGCTCCTCTCCCCTCACTGCCAAGCAGCCTGTCCCTCCAACACACACACACAACACGCACACACACAGGCGCAGCCAATAAGAGAGTACCAGTCTCCCCATTGCTTGCCAGTCAATGCCTTGTTGCCAGGACAACAGGAAGGCATGAGACCCACTTTACTTGAGCATTTTAAACTTGATGTTGACTCTTTTTCTGAGAAACGAAAAGGTCTCCCTCTGTAAAATTACTCCTAATAATATGCTTAGGTCGACAGCTAATCCTGTTATCTGTTTCTCACTTTGTCTTCTGTCGCACTGAGTGGTGTCCAGAAAAAGATCATTTGCAACAAATATGAAAGGTATCCTATATAGAAGTCACCAGTAATATTTGAGACATCGCTTTTATTCCTGTGTCACCTCAGGTGTTGATATTTTGTTTTCCTTTAACCCCCCTCTAGATCTACGATGACAGCTGGGGACATGTTTCCTTTGGTTTTGATCGTCCTGGTCCTTCCCTGTTCTTGCGTGGAAGGTAAGCCTCACTGCTCTGTGAGTGTCTCATCACAGCTCTTCACATCAGACCTGAAAGAGATCTGTAGCTAAAGGCAGGATAGATTTCTGCTGGCGTAAAAACACAGGATCTGGTTGAATTCGTCGCTCCCTCTATCTCTGAATCTGTTGCAACTCCACCAGCCTCTTACTGCATAAGACAAGATTACAGTAGGTCACATGCTGTCGCTGGGGGTCCTGAGTAAACAGGAATCTGCCTCTCACTTTTGATTGTCCAGGTTGGAAGCGTTCACAACATGAACCTTTCCAGAACATTCTGCTGAAATCTCATTGTCTTTCCAAGTTAACATTTTGGTTGCTGTCTTTTATGTCTGAGATATTTGTATTCTCGCAGTAGCTTGAAAGGTGTGTAGAAACAACTGCCCCCCCTTTCCCTTTTACTCAAATTCACAGCCACATGATCTATAAGCCTCTGTGTCTTTCCTTGCCCCTCTCAAGTCTCTTAAACACACAGACTACATATTCACACTTTTCTTTTTTTTCTTTTCACCACCTCTCCTCTGTCTGTCTCCCTCTCATCTGCTGTCTCTGTGTTATTTGACACAACTGCAGTGGTGGTGGAATGCAGTTGATAGAGGAGTTTGTCCCCACACCTACTCACGATAGCCCTATATGTCTCTGTGTATATATCAAATATCATCAAAGATGAATTCTAATGTGCCACATAACATAATAATTGTTTGTCTTTGTTGGGTGTTTTGCAGGTGAGGGCAGCTCGAGAGACTCTGTATGTTTGTGTGACGGGTCCTCTTGTAGCAGTGGGGACCGGTGTTTCGGCCAGCAGTGCTTCACCTCTCTCTCAGTACTGAACGGGACATCGGTCCTTCAGAAGGGCTGCATTGTGGGTAGTGAATTTCCCCTGCGCTGCGGAAGCCCGCCATCTCCTGAGCTGGTGGTCGAGTGCTGCGATGGGGATTTGTGTAACATGAACGTCACTTTGCAGTCACTGGTGAAAGGTGAGTTCTTAGCAGCATTACATTGTGTTGAAAATGCGTGTTAATATGCAGTTTTTACAAAATACAGGGAAATGTCCGAAGTTATTGTCCCATCCATCTACTTTACGCCGTTATACATTTTGTGCTGTCTCAGTTGTCTCCACAGATTGGGAAATCATTTTACAAATATGTAGTGATGACCAAGGAGCGTTCTTGTAGACTTGCTGAGTCATCAAGATCAGCTGTATTTCTATTAGGTCAGAGGAATGTGTTTAAAATCAATTACACTATATTTATACCTTTTTCTTCTACATTAATATGTAACATGATGGCAAAGTTGCATATAACCGAATTACGTTTTCCTTTATTGCAATGAAATGTTTTCAACTTTTCTTTCACGTTGAGTAGTGTTCGATGTCACTAATCTGCCTGATACTGAGAAACTCTCTTACCTCGTTGTCTTTGGAGTGAATGCCAATTGTATTCATTCCCATTGCAGACAAAAACCAGATGTCAGTATGTTTTTTGACCAGTGTAAAAGGGGCTCTGCATATTTAAAACACTTTCAATAGTTTGGTTATTTTTTAACCACAGGTTGCTTGGATTCATACATTTTAACAACTAAAATGATGAACTGATAAATTGTCTTTCTATTATTGCATGTTGTGATTCAGCTAAAAAAAATGTTATTACCAAGGCCTTATTTCAATGGAGAACTTGCAAATTAATAAATAATACATAGAAAAAAAGTCAGGCTAGAAAATCTGTTTGAGTGGTTCCCTAATTAAATTCTATATGTGAAAAAGATTTTTATATAAGTAGGTGTTGGATTTCAAAGAGGAAAATATTTTCGGTCACATTAAAAATTGAGCAGCCGTCTCCATAACTGGCCAACACAGACATTTTCAGCCAGCATGTTTTCTGATCTGAGAGAATGCCATTTAATTTAATGGGATAATAATGGTATCGCTCTAATGGGTTTCCCCCCGTATCTCTGTTTCCTCTCATCAGATACTGAACTGTCTGCTGGCAGACCAGTCCTCAGAGACCAGGAGTGTGTGTGTGAGGGTGGCACGTGCGAGCGTGACCGCCGCTGCACAGGGCAGCAGTGTTTCTCCTCTCTGAAGATGATTGATGGGGTGGCCGTCCAACAGAAGGGCTGCCTGAGGGACGACGAAGAGGGCAGAACCACCTGTGCCATGCCACCCTCGTCGGCCCATGTTGTCAAGTGCTGCCAGGGCCATCTGTGTAACATGAACGTCAGCGTGCAGGCTCTGGGAAAAGGTGACTTTGTACACATTGTACACATTTCTCTTGGCTGACGTTCACGATAGACCTTCTGTTACTTTATGTGGTGCAGAAGTTGAGCTTATGTCTCATATAATTCCCTTTAATAACAAAACTCTTTTTATATTTGCCATTTTAATAGACCATAAAAAGCATCAGTCATGTTTACAGTGTTACAGAAATAGTTTAAGGAGTTACTTATTTACCAGACATTTGTTCTTCCTGAATCTTTTGCAGACGAGGAAGTGAAGGCCCTGATCAAACAGGAGCACGAGTGTGTTTGTGAAGGCAGCTCGTGTGTAACGGGCAGTCGTTGCATGGGCCACCAGTGTTTCTCCTCGCTGACAGTCAATGGCGGCTCCCTGGTGTACCAGAAGGGCTGCTTTAAGGTTTATGAGCAGAGCACGTTGACCTGTAAGACCCCACCTTCCAGAGACCAGATTGTGGAGTGCTGCCAAGGGCCCCTGTGTAACATGAACAGCACTGTGGAGCTGCCTGTCAAAGGTACAGTACCCAGGATGCAACACAAGCACAGTTTGAGAAATGTTTCGGTTCTGTGCTATGAAAGAACTCCATCCTTTGTGTTCAGGGTTAAACTCTTTTTACCAAAATGCTAAAGCTCTTCCAGTCAATGTGTTGCCTTTGATTTCATCTATTCAGAAGAATGATGACGAATGTGTAGGTTGGCCACTGTAACACATTCATTCCACTCCATCATTCTCCACTCAGAGGCTGTAGAACTGTCTGTCATGGTTGTTCTGTGTGGTTTCTGTTGGCCTGAGCTACACCTCTGTGTGGTCTCACTCCTGGCACCTCCTGAAACAGAGCTGGGGGAGACAGGGGGCAACTTGAATATTATTTAGTCATGGTCCACTTCCCACCTGTCCTCTCGGAGGCTGTCAGAGCTGGCTGACACGAGCCCAGAGGGTGAAGCCACCTGGGAATGAAGGAAAGGCAGGCATCTATAGACGGAGCTGTTGTTGCCTTCTTTTGTCTCTTTCACCTTTACCTTTCCCTCGACAGCACTCTTTTATATTTATATTTAAACCTCTTTTGTCATGTTACATTACAAAAAAATATGCTTTTTAAACTGTCTGACTTAATGCATTTCTTCCTATGTTTGAGTCACGTCCAGTGGGCTTCTAGAATTAGTAACTAGTTATGTGTATTTGAGAGAAAGAGTTCATTATGCAAGTTGAGAAAAGGGGATCATTGTCTGTGCTGTAGGCAGAGCTGAGCCCTCTTTCCCTTGGAATGTTAGGAAAGTGTGAATGGGCGTCAGTTTAGGCTGAGATGTGTGTGTATCGTCACACATATACACACACACACACACACACACACACACACACACACACACACACACACACACACACACACAAATGTTCTGTGTGCACCCTCAGCCTTAACTGGTTGCTTCAGGAAATCTGCAGTGTGCTGCAAAGTAGAGTGCCCGACCCCTACCAGACAAGCATTCCGTTTTTTAGTCTGAACCCGACCCAAGCCCAATGTTTTCAGAGATTTCAGACACTTGCAGCATAGAAAATCAAGTAGATAGCTCAGGCTACGTGACCGAACCTGACCCGGACCTAATTTATCATTTCAAATTTTTGGAGAAGTCAAAGATTAAAACTTATAGTAAAAAAGTTGTATGTTATTATCATCTCCTCTTCTTGTATCATAGCTATGGTCTAATGGACGTTATCGTCTGTTGTTTACCTCGTTGTTCACCACCTAAGAATCATCTCACAGTTTTTCTCCTCTCTCACAGCTGACGAGTTGTCAAACTACAGCGTGACCACACTGGCTATGGTCATCGTGGCACCCATTATCGCCCTTATCGTCCTCTCTGCTATTGCCATCCTGGTGTTCAGACGCATCCACCACAACCAAATGGAGAGACTAACATCACGAGATGCTGAATATGGAACCATCGACGGCCTCATAGCATCGAACGTAGGAGAGAGCACTCTGGCGGTGAGTAGTGAAAACTATAAAGGGCGTTACTTAGCACAGTGTTTGAAAGGAGAGCATCTCCTGAGCTCATTAGGAAAATGGCTCTAAAAGCTCTTCAAAGTGTATTTTAATTGGCTCCTATGTTACATATGAACACCAAATCAAATTAAAGGCATTTATCTCAACTGCTTGCTTTATGTATGCCACCACAAAGATGTTGTGTCCATTATGAACAATTTCTAGAGAGACTCAAACATATGCTGTGTTTTTGAGGTACTTTATAGTTCACCTTCTTTTTGTTGTTGTGCTGCCAATCTAATTCACAATTCGTCTACTTACTTTATTTAAATACTCAACTGAACATTTATCAGGACCAGAATACCTGAATTCACCGTCCCTGGTTAGTTGTATTAAATCCCAATCAATCAGTCATTTCAAGTGACAGTCTATCCTTGTTTTTGAGATTGGGTGGTAGTGAGACTGTTTTCTAAATCACAGAGATTGTCTCTAAATTCATTCCACCCCAGTAACAGAGGTGGAAAACCCCCTCACAAAATGATGTGTTGTATAAACTTGAGGGATTCAGCTTTTGGATTAGGGGACTTCTTCCTCTTCTGTGTACACAACTCATCTACAACAAGATGGTATACAACGCAGACACAAAGTTATGATAAACATTATTTGCCTCTTTTTAATCCAGATTTGTGATCAAGGCAGTCATCTGGTGTCACTGTAATCAACACTTAAATCTGCTAAGATTGACCCAACATGGCACAAACGCAGAGCAGAAGTCGACTTGCAGCTGTTCAAAGACCATGTTTTTTTCCTTTCAACTTGTCACATTAGTTTTTTCTCATTTTACAAAGACATTTAAAATACAAACCCTTAGTTATTTTCCGTTGCTTTGATTTTGTAATCACAACAAAGAAAAGAAAAACCTAATGTCAAGTCCGAATAATACCAATCCACTGTGCCTGTTTTTATTGTGAGTAGCGATGACACGATGGGGAAAATTTCCCACCCGGTAATAAACATGTGACAACACCATAGAGGACAACACCAGTGTTGCTGATTACACCGGGCAGTTAACAAGAAAAGATGTGTGTTGGTTCAGTGCAATTTTTACTGAGTGAGATCTGTAACAATAGATTGTATTGTCAGATTATAAATTGGGGACGTGGGTGCCACCACTGACACACATAAATTAACCAAACAAGTTTTATGTCTATTAACAATTAAATAAACTGTGTGGCCAGTCAGTGGCAAGTTATATAACACTGTGTAACACTAGCTACCATGGCAACCCTAATTATGAGGTTGTAAATTTATATGATTAATAGTTTTATGTTACTAAATCATATTAAAGCAGTAAAATTGTCAAAGAGGGGCAGAAAAATTCATGACCTCTCCTTGTTTATGTCAGTAAATGTTATTAACATATAAAATTCACTGGTATTGTTGAAGTCTTGAGCTGAGTTGGTTTGTTTAAGCCACAAGTGTGGGTGTTGCTCTTTCTGGAATTAAAACAAAAAAATCCCTCTCAACTCTAAAACTTGTTTTGCGTCTTCTCGGTCATTCCTGCAGTCAGTCAGAGGAGTTTCTTCTTTTATTTATTTTCTCTCCACTCGACCGTGGACTGTAAGTTTTCTACAGAGAGGTTTATGTTTTGAAGCCTGCTAAACTGATCCAGAGTTTAGGTGGAGTCCTGTGGTTAGTGTTGCGTCTGAAAGACTAACCGGCACATTTACTGGCTCACACACTCTGTAATCAAGTTGTGTGCTCACAGTCTAACTTGTGCTCGAACAAAAATGCATGACTGTTACCCTCCATTTTGTGATTCTGTGTCCTGGTAAAAGTTACTCATGTGCATTTAAAATTTTAGAAAGCATTTACTTAACATCTGTTGCCAAGCTCTTTCCAATCGCAGATTTTCAGTTTATGTTTAATTATGAAACATGTAACTAACACATGCAGCTGTTAACATATGATCATTTATGTGTTTGGGGAAGACATAGCTGATTTTGTCTCTCTGTCAAGCTGTTTCCAAAGTCCATCAATACACTTGGCACTGAAAGGCCCAAATATGGAGCCACAGAATGTGTTTGTTTCAGCATAATTAAAAAATGCTTGGCAGCACCATGAGAAATGTTATTAGCAACAGTGGTTTAGCTGTGAAAAGCAAATCGGACTGAAACACATGTGCCTCTCCCTCCACAGCCTGCTGCCCAGAAGTCGTCTCTGATTATAATGATATTGCACCGTTCTGATTGCATTCTGCTGCTGTGTAACGCAGTGGCCCAAATATATCCTCCTCAAAAACAATCCTCCCTCTGCAGAGTAGCTCATCATTCATTTTATGGCCTCTGTCTCACATTCTTGTGTTGTGATTCCAAATTGTCTCTCAGGCAGCTCCTGCATTATGCATCTGTTTATCTGAGGCATCACTCATCTCTGTTGTTTTCAATCCTCAACCTTCCCCCTCCTCAGTTTAGTCATTTGTTTTTGCTCAGCACATCCTGACTCTGTTACTGTGTACTGCCCCCCTGTGTCTGCACTGGCGCTCTGCATGTGTCAGAGCGTAAGATAAAAATAAAAGGCTTAGCGGCAATGCACCTGTTTTGGAGTCTGGCTCTTGGATTAGATAAAATCTCCAGTGCCCACACCAGTCATCAGGGAGGGGGGTGGCACTTCTGTTGTTTACTCAGCAGGGGGCACTCTGCACCTCCGGCACTGACACACACCCCCACACACACACACAGCTTAACCCCCCCCCATCTCATGTGGGTGCCACATCAAAAGGAGGCCTGCTTGTATTAGCATTATTTTAGTCCTGCATGCTCCTTATTTCATCATTTTTCAGGCTTGAGCCACAGGATTCCTTTGGGAAGGTTTTCATTTAGACAGCTCTCGCTCTCTCGAATTATACACTCACATGCAAATACACAAGCCCTTCACTCTTTGTTCCTGTTTTTCTCTCTCCCAGGATTTGCTGGATCATTCCTGCACTTCAGGCAGCGGCTCAGGACTCCCATTTCTTGTTCAGAGAACCGTTGCTCGACAAATTACACTCAATGAGTGTGTGGGTAAGTGTCCCCGGTGAAGGCTGTTTTGATATTTACAATAGCACTGCTTCAAAAAAACACAAAAATTACCCAACCTCCTCATTCATTTCACTGAGGCACTCCCACTGTGCAGACAAAGAAGACTCAGGCAAAAAAATGTGGTAAAATCCTGAAGGTGGTCCTTGCTCAGTTTAAGCCTCAGGGCAGCTGCACCATTTGGAAAAACAGTTTTTGTATATACCAGGTGCAATAGCATGTTGATGGTTCTGTTCCCATTCAAGTGAAATTGAAAGTGGTTTCAGACTTTTGACAGAGCAGCAAAATGTCAAAGCCATAACAGGATATGGAGTAAAAGGAGTATAACTTGCTATGTGTCTGTGTCTCACTCTTGAATAATGCTACAAACTGGATTTTCCAGTTCACATGTTCACTGATACTGGTTCCCTTTATCTGTAAGACTGACAGATCTCAAAACATCGTCCCACAAAGGCAGAACAAGAACTTTGTCTTTAAATATTTTACAAAGTGCTGTGAAAAAGTTGCTAAAGTCCCTGGAGTCAAAGTTGCACAAATCTTAGTTTTGAGATCGTCTGCAATATTTCAAGTGTCAGATATTCACATTTTCATACATGAAAAAATGTTGCCATCATTGCGAGTGTGTGCAAGGTTAAGACACTCATTTTGAAATGAGGTTCACTCAGCTGCTCAGTTCTGCACCACTGTCATTATTGCCTCTAGACTCCCAAAGAAAATTAGTTAGATCAGTGTGAGTTTATTAAAGGTCCAGTGTGTAAGATTTAGGTGAAAGGGAACTATTGTGGAATAATGCATCCATCATGCACCTTGCTTTTATTTACCGTACGATGTGTTTTTTGGAGAATTTAACAAATATACGATTTGAATTGAATTGAATACTCCCTTCGGGTCAGTAAGTTGTTCTAGAGCAAGGACTTAACCAAACACACGTTGTAGAAAAAATAATCTTACTCTCTGTTTGTGAATGCCAGGTAAGGGCCGTTACGGTGAAGTGTGGAGGGGTCAGTGGCAGGGGGAAAGCGTCGCTGTCAAAATCTTCTCCTCCAGAGACGAGAAGTCCTGGTTCCGAGAGACTGAGATCTACAACACGGTGCTGCTGAGACACGAGAACATCCTTGGTATGTAGAACATCACACACAGGACAGGTTTAACAAGATGTGAGAGAGCTCACAGCACGGCACAAGAAACATCTGCAATTTTTCACTTGTTTCTTGTGAAGCACTTTGTAACTGTTTTAATTACTATATATTTACAGACATTGTACTGCATCATGCAAACATTCTGACTAAGTGAATTGATATATTTCTGCTAATGCAGGCTTCATAGCTTCAGACATGACCTCGAGGAACTCCAGCACTCAGCTGTGGCTCATCACTCACTTCCATGAGATGGGCTCCCTGTACGACTACCTTCAAATCAGCACCCTCGACGCGTCCAGCTGCCTCCGCATGGCCCTTTCTATCGCGAGCGGCTTGGCACATCTCCACGTCGAGATCTTCGGCACACAGGGCAAACCGGCGATCGCCCACAGAGACCTCAAGAGCAAAAACATACTGGTCAAAAAGAACGGCCAGTGCTGCATCGCTGACCTCGGTGAGAATACGATATGATATTCCTTTTATTCTATTTGTGAACTGTGTTTCCTAAATTTTAAACTTAAGAGCAAGTTTCCTAAACTTGATGTAGATCGAATGTATTTTTCAAACCCATTCACAAGCAGAGGTGGACAAATTTAATCCTGCAAAACTACATTTCAAATTCTAAAGGTCAAGGTTTCCAAAGATACAGATTATATAAGGCTGAATTTTTAGACGATTATTAAAGGATGCCTGGTCAGAATTTAGATTGAATATTGCAGGTTTAAAAAAACACTCAACCTTGGATTTAAATATATAACACAGCTTGAATGATGACATTGTGACTTGAACCACCTTAAATTAACTGGAAATTAGCTTAATGTAATAGTTAATGGGATTTACATAAGAGAAGCATCTGCAGTGTTATCGCTCAACTTGCACCCATCCCCCTCTCTATATTTGTTTTTAATGTAGACAAGAACAGCCACTGCTAAATTAACCTTCTTTCCCCTTAACCAAAAACAACTTTTAAGAACTTTGTCCACTTAATCTATCAAATTGATGTTCAATTTGCAGATAGATCTAACTCAGGTACAAGCCGTAACCAGACAAACAGGCCTGACATGTTTACAAGCTCAATGTAATAAATTCTGCTCTGGGTGACGCACTCTGCGAATTGTCTGTCTCCCGAGAGAGTTGTTGTTACATCGGAGTACATCCTGTATGAGAGGGAAAAAGGACTGTTTACAACAAGTAGTGATTCAGCAGTATATCAGCTGACGATGTATTTTTATGTTCATCTGCTGAAGGGGGATAGTTACTGTGTGCCCACTTAAAAGTGAAAAACTTTAGGACATGGTTGAACCAGCAGGATTTTGTGAGCTCACGACACAATGATGGGGCAGCCAAATGTGACACTTACACAATTGTGATGTGGAAACCCCAAGCCTTCTACGCACACACACACACACACACACACTGAGAAAAGACTTCTCAGTGAAGTAGGATACAACTTATGTCCAAGTTTTAAAAAGTACATGATTTGCATCTTCAAATATTTTTGTTCTTTCAAAATATGTCTGTGGGGTATTCAAAATCTCTGTGTGTTTTCATGTTAGGCTTGGCAGTCATGCATTTTCAAGACACCAATGAGCTGGATGTGGGGAACAACCCCAAAGTCGGCACAAAGCGCTACATGGCCCCCGAGGTGCTTGACGACTCCATCCAGATGGACTGTTTCGAGTCCTACAAGAGAGTGGACATCTGGGCACTGGGGCTCGTCCTGTGGGAGATCGCCAGGAGGACAGTCAGTAATGGTCAGTAGTGTTTTACACCAGTGGTTCTCACACTTTTGCACATCAATATATCAGAATCAGAATCAGAAGTACTTTATTAATCCCCGTAGAGAAATTCAAACGTCACAGAGCTCCTGAGAAAGAGGTGAAAGAGCAACAGCAGGTATAAACATAGTAATATAAAAGTCAGTCATATAGTTATACATTCTGTCATTGTGTTACTAATAGAGGAAATTACAGTGAAAATAAATGACTCAAGGACCTATGGAGGTCCTCTGACCTCACTGTAAAACCTCTATTTTACACTTATGATTAAATATAAGCCTGTGTAATATAAACCATATATTTTTCTATTTATCTATTTAAATCTACAATAAAAGAAAAGAGGCTCATTGTGTATTCACAAGGTGAAGAAACATACCAGTACTATATCAGTGTCACATTGATTCAGCTTTTCTGCTGCTTTCTTCATAATTAAAACCCTCACTGCTTTAGCTTGAACTTTGTGGAAGCTTTTCTGATATTGATTAAAAAGATACACTTGCCTCCACCCACAGACTAGTCTGTGGAGAAGCCAGAGGCCACTTATGTGAAATGAAACCTATTCTCTCCCTTCACTGTCAATAAGTGTATTGCTCTATAATCGGGACTGGGCTTTCAGCAACACTAAGGATGTTGATTTACCCACAACACAGTAACCGTACACCTTTTTTAGTAAAGGACAAAAGAGTCATGCCACAAAATGGATCAAATTATCATATGTTCACTTGGACTGTCAAATAAACTGATTAGATTAGGGCGACCAAAGGTCACAGGGGCCTCACACAACATGTTTTTGGCCTCTTGAACATGATATCTCAAGTCTGCTTTTAGGGAATTTCTACTTTCAGGTACTTGTGTTTTTTGATATTTACGGTTTCATGAGATATATTACAACTTCAGGTGACTGTGATAGCAACAAATGATCTACTCATGTTTTGTGAGTGCTGAGGAGATTTTTCTATATCCTGACTCTTGCTTATACACATTGATCTATTCATGAACTCAAACCTCTCTGTGCTCCACTTGTAGGTATCGTAGAAGACTACAAGCCACCTTTTCATGACGTGGTCCCAAGTGATCCCAGTTTTGAGGACATGAAGAAGGTTGTGTGTGTGGATCAACAGAGGCCCAACATCCCAAATAGATGGTTTTCAGACCCAGTGAGTAGAAATCAAACCGTCACTAAGAAGCGCACAATTCACGTCTGCGTCCTTTCAGAAATTCAGAAATAAGAGCACTTCAGTTTCACTCTAATGTTGACATTGGACATGCTGATTGATTTCTTTCTCCAAAATTTCATTTACAGACTTTAACCTCCATGGCCAAACTCATGAAGGAGTGCTGGTACCAGAATCCATCAGCCAGATTAACAGCATTACGCATCAAAAAGACTCTCACAAAGATCGACAACTCTCTGGACAAAATTAAAACAGACATTTGAGGCTGCTGGGTGAAGACGAGGGCGGACATTTACTAAAGACCTTTTGAAGACATCCAGAGGGTGGACCAGCTTCGAGAAATGTCAGAAACTAAAAAGACTTGGATGGGTCCAGTGCCCTTATAGTGGCACAGACCTGTATTTATTTTAAAACACTTGGCGGGGGCCAAATTTTGGCATCCAAAGATGGTTTACCGGGCATTCCTTAGACTGCCAGTGGTCTTGGAAATAGGAAAATATCTACTCAACTTATAACACTGTTAGAAATGTTCTTCAAGGAAGAAAACTGTTACCTGGGCATTTGAGTAGGCTTGCATTTGTAAGAACCACAGATTTAGTTTCTCACTCTTTTTTTTTTAGTTTAAAAAATGTCAGAACATATAAGCAGTTTCACTTTATCTCTGTAATCGTACTGCATCGTTTGTTTGAGTTATGGTGAATTCATTTGGAAAAGAGGTCCACTTGCCAATTGAACTTGCCAATTTATTCAGCGTACTTTCTGAAAAACAGCAAAATAGTGTAATGTTTTACTTAGTGAGTCATGCACCGCTGTTTACTATGCTGTCAGAACAAGTAACTCTGGATCTTGACAATCCTGTAACGTTTAGTCCAACGGCTTCTTCTCCTGATATATCGTCCAACCCAAGGTACTCTGTTGCAGACTTTTTGTATATCACCATGGATTTTACATTGAATTATATTACCTGTTATATGTTTTGTTCTCTACAGCTTTACAGACACAAATGCTAAAAGAACAAATAAAATATCTGCTAGACAATGCTGATCTCTCCAGAGGCCTGTAAGTAAACCTGTAAAGCCTGTATACTGTCTTAATGCGTGCATTGTCAAGTAAATGAAGTCAAACTTCAGCCTTTTTTTATTTCTTTAACATTTTATATCAATTAGCGATTTATATTAATTAAATAGAAAAAAATGTATTTCACTTGTGTCATTTGTCTCGGTGCTGTGTGTAGTAGGTACTGTTATTAACCATGTTAGCGACCTGGCTGGAGAGACAACACTTCTGTCAATTAATTCAACACTTTGTTCCATGATGTATTTCAACAGCTGTTGGATTTGCAGTAGGAGTTTGTATGATTTTGGTTTTGAGTGAAATATTTTAACTATCTAATAGATAGCTTAGAAACTGGTGTACATATTCAGTGACAAAGAAAAATTCTTTTGATTTGGGTTCATAACCACCGTAGCTGCCCCCCACACCCCCACCATTATTAGTATTTTCAGTTGTACTTGGTGTTTAGTGCTAATTCGCAAATGTTGGTTCATGCTATTCTACGATGGAGAACAAAAAAATAGCATCTAAGTGTTAGCGTGTTTGCATCGTAGCCGTTTTGAGCTAAATGCTGATGTGTTTGCATGTAGCTCAAAGTGCCACTATGCCTGTGGATGTGGACCATTAAGATGTTTATTAAGATGGACGACATAATGACTCCCCTAATGTGAAGCCAAAGTACCTCGTTCACCTTCAGGTGGTTGGCATAAACCTTAAATCCTCCATGTTTGCAGATGGGACATGGACCAAACCAAAAAGTAAAAGTACACGTTGAATTAACTTTTCTCAAAGGTGGTGGCTGTCATTTAAGGTAGTTCTTATGTCACTGTTTGGTTAAATGCTCATTTAATGAGTTCAGTTTGGTTTTCAAATTTTACAAAAACAAAGTGAAACATCATGATTGACGACTGAAACTGACTCACGATTGGTTAGGTGTATGGGCGGGACTTGCTAACCCTGATAGCAACTCCCAATCATGTCTACGGCACAAGATGGCAGCGTTGGTATCCGGGATATTTTGGCTTCATTTTTTAAAGGTGGGAGGAAATGGAGACGCATCTTCCATTTTCATCATACAGACTATGCTGGGAACCTTTGTTCAGACTTCACAGTGTGTTTGGGTTTCATTGCACATTTGAATTTAGTTTTTTCCTGGACTTTGGCATTAAAACATTATTATTGCATTTGTAACTTAGCAATTTTGGTCATGTACTCTTTTTATTTAAGTCTATACCAACTGTAATTTCAAATCAAACTCCTTGTAAGTCCAGTACTATGTATAGAGTACTGGACTTATACAGAGTCATCTTAAGGGATATTTAACTTCAAAACCTTTTAGCTGAAATGCAAATTCCATATTTCAGCAGCTGCCTCTGTTCTACAGCACATACAGTTAGTTTACCCTGGTTTCATTTACTCATATGATACAAACTGCACAATAATCTATTTCTGCACTAATAATGTAAGAAATTCATTAATATTAACTTGGATGAAAGGTCAGAAGCGTCAGGCATTTTCCCAGCCAGCTGTTAAGTGAGACTTTGTGCACAGGGGATATCTTGGCAGATGCCAAACAGCGATGAAGCTCCTGATGGTTCGTGAAGTGATTAATATGCTACGAGATTTACGGGCCAGATGATAGAAACACAACAGTGGGTGACTGGTGGGTGCTCAGACGCCCTGCGTGCATGTATCCACAGCTGCCAGACTTCTTACGTGGACGACTTTATATTCAGAGTCATTCGATCCAGAGCGCAGAGATTTCACCCAACCACTTTAACCAGTGTTTCTGTACCTGTATTTTGATAGAGAGGGAGGTAATCAGTTTGATTAATAACGTACTGAGCTGATAAATGGGAGCAAGATAGTTAGCACTGCTTAATGTTATTTGTTACATTCATTTAACAATTTAAATCAAGACACAAATACACAAAGTCCAAGGTCTGTATACACATGATTATTAGACGTCTGCTTTTTCAGACAATCGGCATTATCAACACTGGGTTAACTGCTTCATGGACACTTTCACATCTTCTATTCACTGTCAGTGCAAGTTTTTCATTCCTTTTTTCCTGCATCTGTGCTGTGATATCCATTTATTGATAGTGCCTGGATGAAGATCACTACTGCACCACAGCATTTGGATTCCAGAATTGCACTTATATGGCTGCACATTTCACCAGTTTTGTGGTACATTAGGAGCGGAAGTTGCAGTATTAGTGGTGTTTTTGGAACCAATAAAACATCCGAGGTAATGGATCCAGTGGAAAGCCTCGACAAATGTTTCCCTGTGGGTTCCGACGCTGTGCTCTTACTACAGAACATGTAATCTGCCCCAAAGAATACACAGTTATTTACATTTGAACTCATGTGTTTTTGCTCATGTAGACTTTGGGATTAAGCAGAGTTCACTCCTTCGCCCGCCCTGGTGACACTGGCACCTGCTGTTGCCATGGAGCCCCAGGTAGCAGAAACACAACATATTATGACTGGCTGTAAATAGCTTATTGCACACAGGTGAGTTGAGCTTTGCACACAGGTGAATGTACAGTGTTCGCCTCCTGACAGCGTTCACTCTTTTGTGTGGAAGGCAGCAGCCTGGCCTGGTTTTCTTCCAGTTTGCTGACCTGAGCTGAGTGCGTCTCCCAACCAGGGAGAGGAATTGCTGCAGCCACATGGGCGCATGATAGGCTGCTTAGGGCTGGATTACACAGGCAGAGCAAAGAACTGCCAGGAGACACAAAGTTGTTGATCAGTAATTAAATGCAAATTTGTCAGAGAACTTGCACATTTTAAGTTCAATGGGTCCTGCTTTGTTACCCAAATGCTGTGGCCCTCTCTGTCAATATCCACAGTGCTTGAGGAAATCATGGACTCACATAATCATAAATATATTTCTGTTTAGTCAAATGATCACACTGTAACCAAACAAAACAAAGGGCAGGTGTTATTTAGGAAAGGAGCAATATTTCAAATGTTGTTCTAGACCTTAAAACAGGTTTATCTGGCCATTTATACCATTGCACACATCACAACAGAACACTTACTGCAATATAATAAAATAATATAATGTATTTGTGCTTTGAACAATGCTCAAACACACAACACAGGATTTAAAAAGCAGAGGGACATAAATAATCATCATAATCTAACCTCTTTATCTCTTCACCTCTACTCATTTAAATATTTATTTTGCTTGGAAAATGTTTAAATCTCTGCCTCCACTTTAGATTTCTTTAAACGTAGTCTCTGTGTTGTGTTGTACAACACCTTCAATCAACCTCTGCACAAAATGTTCAGTGTCTGATTTGAACACATGGAGTTGGAGAAAGTGAATTTGTGTAATGATCATGTTCCCTTTGGGACAGCATGTGTGTGTCCCAGTGGTGTTAAACACTATGTGTCTGTCATTTTATTTTGTTAATGTGTGTCCTTTAAATACCTCTGGATTATTAACCTGTTCTGAACTATGTGACCTGGTTCCCTTACAGTTTTTAGAACAAGTGAGGTGTGGACAGAGCTCATGTCCATGTAGCAGGACACAGACAGACAGGGTGTGTGTGTGTGCGCGTGCGTGTGTGTGTGCACCAGTTGAATAGCTGTGACACACACACTTTCTCCCCTGCTCTCTCTCATTCACATGTCTTTATCAGAGGTCTGCAGCACTAATCCTCTTAAACTCCAGTCAGCAGAGGCGGAGCTGCAGCTCGCTCTGCTCTGCACTCCCCTGGCCGCTCACTGACTGTGGGTGAGACGAGGCTTCTCGGGTCGCAGCGGGGGAGACGAGACTTCACACACCGCAATGTGCGAAATGTTGCGTTGGCCGTAGACGAGCTGCGTCGGTCGGTGCGGTCGCAGGAGGCGGCGGCAGATGCGGCTCTTGCCATGACTTGTTCCGGGAAGCGGAGCGTTCAGGCGGCGTTGATCCTCGTGTGTGTCGCCCAGCTGACTGCAGGTACAGCTCCTCAGTCTGTTTCACTCTCACCTACAGTCACTCTGTGTTCCTAGGTTTCATGTGAGCTATTAAACAACGCGTGGTTCAGTTCACTTCACTTTTCAATCACTTGTTTACTGTTCAACAAGAAACAACATGACGGCAAACCATGAGAAATAAGTTTATTTCACTTTGACAGGCTCATTATTTTATACCAACAAAGTTCCATGAAAATAT